CCTCCCAAGTGCTGGGATTAAAGGCATGCACCACCACCGCCCGGCTCCCTTCTTCTTTTTTAAGATTTATTTTTATCTCTAATTACGTATGTAAGTGTGATTGTGTGGATGTAAATGTTGGTGTCTATAGAGACCAGAGGTTACAGTAGTTGTGAGCCACCCAATATGGGTGTTGGGCATTGAACTTGAGTCCACTGGAAGAACATCAAGTGCTCTTCACCACCCTATTCCCTCGAGCGGTTTTTGTTTTTGAGATAGGGTCTTCCTATGTAGTTCTGACTGCCCTGGAACTCGGTATGCAGACCACACTGGCCATGAACTCAAAGAAATCCTCTTGCCTCTGCCTCCTGAGTGCTAGGATTAACTGTAACCAAAGTGCCTATACAATATTGTCCAGCTCTTAGCTGCTGGCCAAAACCCATCTCTGCATCAATGTTGTATACTCTGAAGATGAGACAGACTCTAACCAATAGTAACAGCTAGAATTACAAGAAGATAGCTCCTGAGATACATTCTGTGAGCTGCTAACAGAGATGGGTGTGGCCCAGGAGTTTTTGTTGTTATTTTGTTTTTCATCTTTTGAGGAGTAGGCAGGACCATCAGGATTTCCCTGAATCTCTTGGAAAGTCAAATGCACATGTGTTTGTTCCTAACTATACTAGTCTCTTCACAACAAAACTCTCATAATTTAATTCCTCAATTCTCGCTGGGCAGTGGTGGCGCACGCCTTTAATCCCAGCACTTGGGAGGCAGAGGGAGGCAGATTTCTGAGTTCGAGGCCACCCTGATCTACAGAGTGAGTTCCAGGACAGCCAGGGCTACACAGAGAAACCCTGTCTCGAAAAACAAAAAAACAAAAAAAGAAAGAAAAAGAAAACAAAACAAACAAACACAAAAATTCCTCAATTCTCCACTTGAAACAAGGATCCTCTCCAAAGCCACCCCAGACTATCACTTCCCATGATGGTGCCATGTCTGTCTTAGCACATTTTTAAGTATGCTAAAACCATTCACATTTAAAACTACTCTACATACATAAAGATATGAGAAGGCAGGGGCCACACCTGTTTTGCAGTCTACCATATTCCCAGTGCAAACACAGTCAGATGGCACTCCAGAAATATTGTTGGATGAGTGAAAGGTCAGGGCTCATCTTAAATATGAAGTATCAGCATTACAAGAGTTCCTGAGGGAAACACAATTCTCAGGCTCAACCCAAACTTAATAAATCAACTCTAGAGGTAGGCAGCCCAGCAAGCCCTCCCTGACTCACAGTAAACTTTGAGAACCTCTGCCTTAAATATATCAAGTATTCAAAATGTACCATAACACTTGAAAAATATATAATACAAAGCTTTGTAACAATCACCCAATTATTTACTAAATATATTAAACTACTGTGCAAGAAAAATAAAAAAGTAGCCCCTGCTAGTAATCTCCAGCTCACAATGGGCCAGTGTTCTCCCTCTTCACCCTTCCCACATACTTGCTGTGTATACATATTTAACAAGCAAGAACAAACTCTAGTTAGTTGAATATGAAGTTTAAAACACAATAATGCCCAATTATCTGCTGTGGTCTGAATGTGTTTCTCCCAAATTCACATGTTGAATACCTATTCTAGCCTGTAAGATGATGTGTAAGGAGGCGGGGCCTTTGGAAAAGTGGCTAGATCAACTAGGCAGAACTGTCTGAATGAGACTAGTGCTTTCATATAAAAGAACCCCAGGGAACAGCCTTACTCCTCCATCACAGGAGATACAGGGAAAACATGCCATCTACGAACCAGGCTAAAAATTCCCTCTAGACACTGGGCATGGTGGTGCATGCCAGCACTCAGAAGGCTTGTGGCAGTAAGACACCCTTCAGCCAGTACTACATGACAAGCTAGAGCTATGTAACAAGACTATCTTAAACAAAAAAGGGGGACTCGGGATGTCTCTGCTGACAGAGTCCTTGCCTAACATGCACAAGGGTCTGGGTTCAATATACAGCTCTACATAAACTAGGTACTGTGGCACAGACCTAAAACCTCAGCACTAGAGAGGCTGAGGCAGGTGGATCAGGAGTTCAAGACCATCCTCCACTACAGAGTGAGTTTTAAACCAGCCTGTATTGAGGCTTTGTTGTGGGGGGGTAGAAAAAAAGGAGGGGCTGGGGAAATGATAGTATAAATGCCGTCCCTGAAAGCATAAGGATCCTCAGTCCACACACAAAAACGCTCAGTATGGCAACATGTGCCTGTAGCCCTGGTGCTGGAACGCAGGGACAGGCAGACTCCTGGAGCCCACTGACCAGGGCAGTCTAGTCAAACGGACAAGTTTCAGAGTCAGTAAATGATCCTGTCTCAACAATTACATACATAATGGGAGTTGGAGAGATGGCTCAGCAGTTAAGCACACTTGCTGCTCTTTCAAAGAACCAAGGCTCAATTCCCAATAACCAAATAATGGCTTACAATCATGCATAACTCCAGTTCCAAGGGGCCTGACACCCTCTTCTGACCTCCACAGGCACCAGGCACACATATAGTACACATCATATACACAGGCAAGTCACTGATACATAACTTTAAAAACCCCCAAAATTAAAAAAAAACCCTCTGGCCTCCACATAGATACACATGCATGCATACATACACATGTACATGAGCATGTATATACATACATGTGTGTGTGTGTATGTACACACACACACTTGAAGAAAAAAAAAGTCCCTTTCAGACAATGAATGTGCTGGTCCCTGTCCCTGGATTTTCTATGCTCCAAAGCTGATAAAAAATTTTTGTTTATAAGCTAGCCAGCTGATGGTATTTTGTTATAACAACCTAAACAGACTAAGACAATATCTTTCTCACCACATTTCCTATAACACATCCTATTTCTTCCATCCTTCCAAGTAGTAAATACATAATCCTTCTCTACAAATCTTTTTTCCCCCAGAGACACAGTTTTTCTGTGTAGTCCTGGCTCTTCTGGAACTCTGCAGACCAAGCTGACTCCAGGGATCCATCCAACTGCCTCTGTCCCCCCAGTGCTGGGACTAAAGGAGCACCCAACTTTCACAACATATCTTAAATTTCTTCCTATTCACACTTAACATGAAGTTTTCTTCTTTCCCAAATGAGCCATAAATTCTACTCATGTTTTAGCCCCAGCTCAGATGACTCCTCTGACCCCCAATCCTCTCCGTACACTCATTCAGTCTCGGTGGAAAGGCCTGCATTTCCAAAAGTCTACCAGCCTGGTGTCTTCTCCAGCAAAATCGCTCTCTAGTCTGAAAAGAGTCATCACTACATCTTTTTTTGTTGTTTGTTTGTTTGTTTTGTTTTTTTCGAGACAGGGTTTCTCTGTGTAGCCCTGGCTGTCCTGGAACTCACTCTGTAGACCAGGCTGGCCTCGAACTCAGAGATCCTCCTGCCTCTGCCTCCCGAGTGCTGGGATTAAAGGCATGTGACACCACCGCCCGGCTCTTCACTACATCTTACTCTACTCCTTTCTGCACCAGAAGATGCTTCAACTCACCCTGAGTAATCTGCCAAGTGCTTCAGATTTCAGCGGCAGACTGCATTTGTCAGGTGGGAAATGGTCATAAATCAAATCATTCAAGTGTCTACTTGACCTGGGCACTGGCAATAAAGGAAATTAAGTAAGGCCCAGTTGTTTTCAGACTCTAAGGCTCCTTGGGAAGGAACAGATCAGCATACAGTGACAGGGATACAAGTGAGAGGCAGTCACTGGGGAAAAACAATGGAGGAACAGAGTCTTTCCTGGTTAAATGACCAGACAGTAAGTTATCTTCCTAAAAATCAGATGGAGGGAAATACAACCTAGGAAACTATGATTAGCAAAATGTTTTTGACTAGAATATATTATTCCTCCCAGAGATCAAAATTTAGCTTATTGTATATGATGGAACAATGCTTTCAATATATACACTGCAAAACACGGGTAACTCACTTAAAAAGGGACTGTAGTCACAGCCATTTTGAAGCAGAGGAAAGGACAGAAAGGGCAGAACAAATGCAACCTTTAGAAGGAAGGTACTCGAAAGACTGTCACAATCTGACTGCCAAGCTGAGATTCAGACCTCAAATGCCCTTGGTCTCTGCCTAAAAAAAAAAAACAAATCATGTGCTCTGAGCAACAACTGTCAAGCCTGCAAATTACAAAAGATTTTTTAATTTCCCAGACAGTAACTCCACATGAAAACACATTCAAAATAAAAATCTCACAACCTTTTTGGCTATCTCTGTCAAAAGGCCTGATCGCATAAGGCTACAAGATGTACTCGTAACACACCTCACTAGGTTTTTGAAATAAACTCAGGTTTAGGTAGTAAAGCTTCCAGACTATTCTTCCATACCGCCAATCTCCCCTCTCTTCCCCACTCCAAAACAGAAAGGGGAAAGAAAGGCTACAAATCTGTACGTGCCCGCCCAACAGCTCCCGGGAAGCAATTGCTTTCAAATTGCTCCTGCTTAGCCCCCTGAAGCCTGCAGAAGGAAATGGGGACAGATACAGATGTGTGAGCCGGCGACGGAGGACATCCGACATGGGGCAGAGGAAATGCGGATGGTCGAGGACCATGGGGAAGAGGGGGCGCCGGAGATAAAATGGTGAAGGGGGGTCGAGGGGGGAAAGGAAGCAAAGTGCGGGAACGAAAAGTGTGGAGCGGGGGGAGGGAGGGGGTAACTAAAGACCATAGAGGAGAAAGGTAAAATGGTTGAGGAGAAAGGGGAGGGTTAAGGACGCGGAAGGGGGACGAGGAGAAGACGAAGGAGGCTGTCACCGGGGGACAAAAGGGTGTCACCGGAGAGGAGGGAAATTAAGGGATGTCTCCTAAAGAGGTTTGCTTCTACTGGTGGATGGGGAACGCGAGCGGGAGAACACAGAGGACGAGGGTGCAGGAAGAAGGGTGAGACCGCTGCCCGGCGACCTCCGGCCACACTGCGGGGGGGGGGGGAGTCGGGAGGGGGGCGGAAGGCCGCGCTAGCTCACCATGGCTGCGTGGGCCTGGTCCTCTGGCATGCAGCCTCGGTCCTGCGTGCGGTGGCAGGCCGAGCCCGAGCCCGCCGCTAAGATCAGCCGGCGCGGGGGCTCCAGGAGGCTCGGGTCAGGCAGCGGCTCCGGGCTGGGCCCAGGCCTCGGCCTCGTTCTTCTGAACTACAGCAACCCTGCCGCAGCCTGACCGAAACACAGACTCCGCCTCACTCGCCGCGCCGGCTGCGCCCCGCCCCGCCCCGCGAGGTCCCGCCCCTCTCGCCAAGCCTACCGCGCCCTGCCCCCTGGAAGTCCCGCCCCTCTCCCCGTGCCAGTCTCTCCCCGCCCCCAGGTGGTCCCGCCCCCTGCAGACTCCGCCCTGTCCTAGCGTAGACTCCCTTTGCGGAACGCCAGCCCTTAAAGGGGCCAACGACTTCTCACAAGGATATAGTTTTTCTGCTTGGAAGAGCTTTAAACATTAACACCAGGAGACTGCAGTGCTTACCCTCATTCTTCAAAATTTAACTTCTGATTCATAGTCATTAATTTTTGTTGTCATCGTTCTTAGTGATTTTAGCATTCTGTTACATGATTTCGTTGTATTGTTTTTGTTTTGTTTTGTTGAGACAGAGTCCCTCTGCATAGCATATGTTAGGCCAGTGTTCTGCCTGCCACTGAGTCACATCCTCGGGCCCCACAATCACAGTTTTGACTATGGAACTTTCCCTCTTTCACCTGTTTTTCTTGTTCACTCTCTAATACTCCAACTTTCAACTTACTCAAGAGACCTAAAAGCCCCTGCCCTTTCCCCTTCCTTTCATTATTCCTCACAGTTCTTTCAGCATCTCATTTTAAAAGTCCATTTAGGGCCTGTTGCCCATGATGAAAATCATTCCCAGTATTCACTTTCTTTCTCCATCTCTTCTCTCTTTCCTTTTTACTATTAAAAAGAACTCCAGGGACTGGAAGATGGCTCAGCAGCTAAGAGCACTGACTGCTCTTCCAGAGGACCCAGGTTCAGTTCCCAGCACCTACATGGAGGCTCAAAACCACAACTGCAATTCCAGAGAATCTGACACCTTCTTCAAGCCTCTAAGGGCACCAGGCACACACATGGCACATATAAAACACTCATACACATAAAATAAGTTAAAACATGTTTTAAAGCTCTTATCCTGAGCCTGCAGTGAAGCCACAGCTCAGGGGAAACTCCAAAGCATACTGTCAGTTTGAATGCTTCTCCTTGTTTGATCTTATTGTTCAGATGATGCTTGGCTAACCTGTACTTTTCCACCCTCTAGATAGCTAATTCAAGCCCTCTTCTCAGGCCTCCCATACTTCCTTCCTCGTGTCCATTCAACTAATAATTTTTGCTTTCAAATCACTGACAAATTAAGTGGACAAAAGAGAACATCTATATAAGTTTCCATCACTGACTACCTGTAACTCCACTTCTATTCTTTTTCCTTTCTGTAGCCCAGGCTAGCCTTGAATTTACTAGGCAGTCCAGGTTTGCTTCAACTCTGCATTTCTCTCCTGTGGTGGTTTGAATAGGCATGGCCCCCATTGACTCCTGTGTTTGAATGCTTGCCCACAGGGTATGGCGATATTAGGAGATGGGGCCTTGTTACAGGAAGTATGTCACTATTTCTCCAGAGCACGCACTTCTGGAGACCTAATCCCCGGGCCTTTTGCCACCGGGCCATCTTCCATTTTCATCACTTTCAAGTGTACAGTTCTGGCAGCCTTAAGTACTGGTGTAGCCATTGCCAAACAGGCGCTCCCAGAAGGCTGCCACTTGATTGCTTCCACCTTGTTTGTGGTACTGGGAATTAACCACAAGGTTTTGCACATGCTGTGTAAGTGTCCTCCTCTTGGGCAACATCCTCAGCTGTTCAGACTCTGCTGCTCTTGCAAAACTGAATGTCTATGCCCGGATTCTTTGTTACCGTCCCTTGGCAAGCGCTGTGCTACCTTTTTATCGAGGTTGCTGTATTGCTGGATATTAAGTTGATGGTCTCACACAGGCTTTGCAAGCTCTCTGCCACTGAGACACACCCAAAGCTAGCATAGACTTGTTTTTTTAATCTCTGTGAACTTGATTGCTCTAGTGTTGAGGTTCAGTCTGTTGCTGTGTATTGCAATGCTAGATTCTGTACTGGAAGGTCTCCTAGCCCAGGAGTGGATTATCACCGTTACTAGCTTTTGTTGTGCAAACCTTGTTCTTTAACTTAATGCTATTGGTTAAATAAAAAATGGTACAGCCAAATCACTGAGAGGATTAGAGGCAGGCAGGTTTTGAGTTACCTGGTTGATGGTTGCAGAGAGAGAGAGAGAGGACAAGAACAAGAGAAGAAAGAGAGAGAGAGAAGAGAGAGAGAGAGAGAGAGAGAGAGAGAGAGAGGAGAAGGAAGAAGAGTAGGAAGCCGCCATGAGAAGAGATGGCCAAGAGAAACAGCAAGTATTTGGGGTACACTGCTGGGGAAGTAGCCAGGCCAGCAGTTAGAAAAGTAGATTAGGGGTTACAACCCAGTAATTGTCAAAATCAAATAGAATAACCATAGTCTGTGACTCATTCATCTTAAAATAGACAGGGATAAGTTTAAATTAGTTCAACTACACTGTAGGTCAGGTGTATGTATGTGTCCAGGGATTGAGACCCAGGCAGGTCAGACATGCTACGCAAGTGTTCCACCATTGAGCAAGTCCAGCCCATATGGTAATGATGTTTTGGGTTTTTTTTTTTTTTTTTTTGAGACTGGGTCTTACTATGTAACGCTGGCTGGCCTGGAGCTCACTATAAAGACAAAGCAGGCCTCTAACTCACAGAGATCCCGTCTACTTCTGCATCAAAAGTGAAATTAAAATTGTGTACTGCTACAGTCTGTCATATATATATATACATATATATATATATATATATATATATATATATATATATATGAATGATATATATCCTTTGGAAGCAGCTTCCTTCATCATATGGAACCCAGAGATCAAACTTAGAAGCAAGCTTAGAAGCAAGGCAAGCACTCCACCACTGATCTCACCGGTGCTCTCTCTCCTCTCTCAGCTTTGTTGGGGGATCCTGAGGAAGGGGTGTTTAGGAGCAGCAAAAGACTGACTCAAAATCAAATTGTGGGTGCAAGCTGACAGCCTTGAAGTCTACTACAGACGGCTCCCTACAAAGCTTTCTGCAGATAACTCCTCTGTAGTCTGCTTGAGATAGCTCTCTGCTCGAGACAACTCTCTCTTGCTAGAAAAATTTCTAAAAACTTTCTGGATAGTTCATGGGTTTTCTGACCAAAATCATAAAAAAAAAAAAAACTGCTATTAAAAAAAAGTGGTTGGTTTGTCTTTGTTTCTTTGTTCCTTTTTTTCTTTTTTTTTTTTTTTTTTTTTTTTTGGTTTTTCGAGACAGGGTTTCTCTGTGTAGTTCTGGCTGTCCTGGAACTCACTCTGTAGACCAGGCTGGCCTCGAACTCAGAAATCCGCCTGCCTCTGCCTCCCAAGTGCTGGGATTAAAGGTGTGCGCCACTGCTGCCCGGCAAGTTCTTAGATTTTCTAGAAAAAATTCTAAAAGAGCTGTGTTAGTGTTGGACTCTAAGATCCAAAACCAGGGGACATGCTCCCCCAGAAACACTCACGGACAGGATTCGCTGAAATAACATGAGATTTATTGAGGATAAGATGATAACCAGTATACTGGGATTCCCCTGTACACAGACAAGAGGAACCCCAAAGTTGGGAGCAGTTTTTATACAGAGTTCACGAGGGCAACCACAAAGGCTGACCTTCCCACATCTGGTCTCCAGGTGACTCAGATTCGCACATTATTTTTATGACAGTGAGTGTCTTCTATTTGCCCAGGTTTATTACATTAAGGGCCCAGCTTCCTGACCACCTCCCATCCTAGGCTCCTCTCCTACAATGTGTCTATGTGCTCTGGGCCTTTCTCACCTGCAGGTGGGTTCCCTCCTCTGTGGTCTGAGGAATGTTAATCAGCCTTTCCTTTCTTCCTCTGAATGTTAATCCAGCAACTGTCCTCTGACTGAGGAATGTGCTCCTTCTGGAATGTGCCCTGGGACAGTGGGATTTTTTTCAATTTTAAGTTCAAACCGAGACCCGAAAGTCCTACATTAGCTCTCTAAGTAATTCTTGGGATTTCCAGTCATGGTCAGAAATCCATAGAAAAAGTTCTAAAAGAGCTATGAAACATTTGAAAAGAGCTGTGTTAGCTGGGCAGTGGTGGCACATACCTTTAATCCCAGCACTTGGGAGGCAGAGACAGGTGGATTTCTAAGTTCGAGGCCAGCCTGGTCTACAGAGTGAGTTCCAGGACAGCTAGAACTACACAGAGAAACCCTATCTCAAAAAAAAAAAAAAAAAAAAAAAAAAAAGCTGTGTTCACTCTTCATGGATTTTCTGACCAAAATCAGAAATCTTGCTTTAAAAAAAAAAAATTCTAAAGCAGCTATGTTCATTTTCCAGAGATCTCCAGACAGCTCAGCTCTTGCTAGAAAACATTCTGAAAATAGAACTGCTATAGATCTCTGTTGGCTCCTGTCATGCAGACTAAAAGTCCAGTCTTTTATTTGCATATCAATTCAGTCATTTACACCAGGTTCCCTCTTGACCATCCTACATATCAGCATTCCATGACCTTAGCCCTTGACTCTTAGGAAAAGGACAGCAAGTATATTTTTTCTCTTAACACTGCAAATTAATTCTGCCTGTCTTTGTAAGCACAGACAATAACCTAGCTGGGTAGGATCCCATCCTGAGATTGCCATTCCAGCTATGCTTGAACCTAAATTCAATCTGTCCCAGACTGACCTTGAACTCAGGAATCTGCCTGCCTTTGTATCTTTCTGACAAACTGGCTCATAGTGCAGCTACCTCTGTTTTTTTAAGTATGTGAAGCTCCTTATACAATTTATATTGCATCCTTATATTTTTGCATAGTTGAGAAATTTTATATATATATATATATAATTCTCTGTGTATCCCTGGCTGTCCTGGAACTCACTCTGTAGACCAGGCTGGCCTCAAACTCAGAAATCTGCCTGCCTCTGCCTCCCAAGTGCTGGGATTAAAGGTGTGCGCCA